CTTTATTCTACAGCTAGGAGCAGAAACAAGAATCTTTCATATTCAGCCTCCCTGCCACCACCCTTGAAATTACATTCTCACTTCTATATTGCGTGAGAAGCTTCATGATTTTCTCCTCCTTCCCACTGCGCTTTCTCAATAAAAAGGTAACTGTCTGTCTCCCTGGTCCTAATCAAACAACTTAATCGTGGCACCGCCTCTCAGTTACAGCATCCGATTAAGCCAGCCTTGCAAGTGGACTGACAGCCGCTGTTAGCCCTCTTCCTTGACACCTGCAGGCGGACAAGGGGCTATTTAGAAGCACAGATTCGTGCCAGGCAGAACTGGATTATTTCGTTGACACGTCGCAGTGGCAAAACCAGGGACGAGAAGGTATGGGTGGGAAAGAGCGTGTTATGCAAAGAGCAGAAATAGGAAGGGTGAGGTGAAACCTGGAATGCTGAACCTGGAAAGCAGCAGCAAGGGCGGTGCTCCAGATCATCTCATACTCCCACAGGGAGCGAAAAGGAAGCTGTGATCCTTCACATGCTCGTGTCTTTGTAAGATGGGGCCCCTGCCAGCTCTAGGGCCACACTACTTAGATTCTGCAAGAACAGTAGAGCCCCCTGGGAGCTGCTCCAAGGGGATTTCCTGTGGCAGAATCGGGTGCCCCACACACCTGGGCCCAGCTGTTCAGCGCTTTCCAGAAAATCTCTTGTTGATCCTTTTAGAGCATGTATGTAAACAACTTGGCAGCCTGTCCAGGGTGCACGGCCAGCGCTGTTACGGAAAGATGCTGAAAATATAAACTATTAGAGCCAGAGGCTTCTGGATTAGCCAGACTCCCCTGCAATATTCCACCAGGAATGTTTGGGAGGGGGGAGGTGAGAACCAGCAGGCCAAGTTGGCTCAGCCTCCCCATCTAGTGGCCTTTTTCGGAGGTGCAGAGATCAGCTTCTCAATTCTGTTGCCAGCATAACTTTGGAAGGCCCAAACGCTTCCAACTTTGCTATTTAAAAAGCACTCCACAGCCAAATAAAGACAGCTACTGTGACTATCCTCTATGGCTGGGGAATTCTGGGAGTTAGGGTTCACACACCTTAAAGTTGTCAAGGTTGAGAAACGCTGCTCTCTATATTTAATCCTTTCCCCTTGTTCACAATCTGAAAGGACGTGAAGGTACTTCCAAGATTTTCAGGGACCACAGGTTAGGGTTAGGGTTATTACTTATTAGCTAAATATAGTAGTTTCACAGAGAGGAATACCAGAGGGAAAATAGGGACTCTCCTGCAACTTTTTGAATGTCACCACCTTTGGAAGTAAAATCAAAGGCAGAAATCTCTCCCACTTCTGTTTCTTATTTGCCTGCAGTCACACCACTGATTTTGCCCCCCACTCCATTGCACAACTTATTGCTACTTGTAGTTTTAAGTATCAGACACCACCCCACACAAACCCCTCAAGGCCACAGATTTTACAGGAGAAAAATGTCACCTAAGTTGAGGTGTCAACCCCCACACACACAAACGACAATGGGATGCTTCATTTGGGTAACTTACCCAGAGTGAACTGGCAGACTTTTTTTCAAGTATCTGAAGGACTGTCATGCAGAAAACCAGACAGAACTGCTCAGATTTGTTCCAAAAGGCAGGACAAGAAACAAGGGGTTTAAATTAAAAACCTAGGCCAGACCAGCAATGCTGTGAAAAACATCGCTCATGTTTGGAGACGGTCAAGAGTCTGGATGAGATAAAGCCAGCTTAGATGGAATCCCTCCAAGATCAACTTCCTTCTTGTTAATAAACATCCAGGAACTCTGAATAGGGTGGCACTCATTCTGAAGGAACTAGTTTGCAAACCAGGGGCCCTCTTGGATTCACAGCTACTACTTACGTAGCAGATCAAGGCCGTGCACAAGGGGACCTTTGCCCAAGATGCCTTGGTAACAATAACTCATGCTCTGATCACCACTCAGTTAGATGGCTGTTAAGGGCTCTGCACGGCGCAGCTCTCGGAGACGACACCAAAGCTGCAGCTGGACAAAAATGTGGCAGCTACATTCATTTTATTTATTTAAATGATTTGTATTATTAATAGAAGAACCCCATCAGAGTAGATCAAAACACTCTTATAAGTTGCTGTGCTGGTTACCAGTAGGCCCCCTAGGCAGTAAAGCTGATAACCTACAAAGCCCTAGGTTTGTAGCACCAGGCTAAATCGGGTACCATCTTCCCAAGGTTGAATCTGCTTGTCCAGTAAGAATATCACAAAAAGGCCTGCTCAGTGTCCCCACTCTTACATGGGAGGGACACAGACCACGTAGCACGTTTTCTCTGTTGCGGCCACTGTATTTTAGAACTCCTTACCTTTTTACTTATTCTACATCTTTTTCTTTTTCTTCTGTATTTTTACTCTGTTGTACGCCACCTAGAGTTTGTGGAATAGGGCAGGTTACAAAAGCTGGAGATGTTCAAATAGAGGCTGGACAGGGATGCTGAAGCACTAGGCAGAGGGTTGCACTACTTGATCTTCTATGGCTTTTAGACATCTCGGCTGGGGTAAACAGACAATTTTTTCTCTTGACAATGACCAAAGGATTATCCAAGCCTGGAGGGTCAGCCTGTGAGGCAACTTGCTGGTATAGTATCTCAGTACAATTAGAAAATGCAATGCTGTCAGTTCTGTGCAAATTAAAGGAAGTATAGCTCTCTCCCTGTTAAGCCAACCAAAGGTAATAGGAAACAAGTGAGGAAATGTCAACAAGCGGTGATGGACATACACCACTTCAAAGGAAAATATTCTTATTGAAATATACAGCTCACATGGCAACCAGATATATTTTCTATTGATCAAGTATCACATAGTTAAATAGAGATAGGTTTAGTCTTGCCTGAATTATGGAGCAGAAGTCCAAGATAACTGAAAGCCAGGAGAAAATCAAGCTGGGGAAAGCTCTATACTACCTTTTTTTGTTGTATTTTTAAATCGAAAACAATCCTAGGGGCATTAGCCAAAAGGCAGTCAATAAATATTTTTTTAAAACGAGTCAGTTCCTTCCAAACACAAGGCAAGAATGAGAAAGTTTGGGATCCAAGGAAACAGGCAGCAGAGCAACTATACCTCTCCCATTGATGCAGCACAGTATCCTAACCGGGGCCCAGACCACCATATATACAGTTGTGCTATTTGTTAACCAGTTATCCCCAGTGAAACTATCATTTTTTTGCAGCTACATACATCAGAAGTAAAACTGATAGTTATTTTCACAGAAGGAAAGCATGGATTTCCTTCTGTGCTTTGCTGCCTGTTCTTCCATAGCAGCTTCTGACCATGCTAGCTGGGAAAGAGAAGAACACCATGTTGGAGAAAATTCTCCTATCTGATCGACAGAACCCTCATTGGGTCTCCTTGAGAAACAGAAGCTATTTCACTTCTAGGACTAAAGTGGAATAAAATGTTCGCCATGGAACAAAGGAAGTTTCATTTAGAAACTGAAAAGCAACTTCTTTCCTTTTGCAAATTGATTAGTCAATCTACTTTCTGAACAAAATGAGGAAGTGGGTATAAGGCAGCACTATCATACAGCTTCATCTTTCTTTAAAGATATTCGTTATCACCTAACTTCAGTATCTTGCAAAAGGATTTTCCTGAGAAAGACATACAGGATCTTGGGGCTGTTACAGCCAACATCATACAACAATCCCCAAGTCAAATGATAATGTTCAGAAGAAACTACTTGTGATTCAGCTCAAGACTTGGCTGACATGAATGTTCTGCTTCTCTGGTTAGTTTGCCTTCTGACGCATGAGGATTTCTGGCTCACAGGAGGAGTGCAAGAAAAAGGACACACTTCCTGAACTTTCTTTTTAACGACAGCCCATGTATAGAATCTGACAGACTGCCCATCTCACCATTGTCCAAGCAAAGATTCTGAAACCAGGAAGCAGAAGATCACAACCAGAGGCCTCATTCTGTTGTTCTAATGAATCAGAACTGCTGAAAAGTAGAGCTCTCAGGAATGTCAACGTTACACACTACAGAACAGGACCACACTGATCTGAACATTCACTAAGCGCTGGCTCTCAATACATCTTCGCCTGAAAAAACAAGATTGGCTTTTGATACAAGTGGATAACCCGAGAGGGTAAATTTACATACAAAGAGAATGTGGCCAGATTTCAAAGGAAACAGCGTAAGATACAGAGGCATCCTTGTAACTACCTAAGCACGCATCATAAATTATAATTCACGCAGGCATCAAAAATTATGCTCCCACATTCTACCAGGCAAAACACTGGGGTGCCATTGCTTGAAGATACGTCTTAAAATGTGTTATTTGAACAAGGCTTTAGAGAGGCAACACCTAGATAACCTGGCTGATTTTGAAAAATCTAAGGAGGATCAGGCCTGGTTAGAAGTGGATGGATGGGGGAATCCCAGGCCTGTTAGCTAGCTTAAGAAACCAAAATAACATTCCTGAAGAAAAGAATAGCAAACCACTTCCTTAACACTGCCAAGAAAACTGCATGAATGTAGTCACCAGGCATCAACCTTGAATGGAGGCCATCATTCTCTTAGAAGTCAGTTACACAACACTGTTCACAGGCAGTGCAAACAGTGTACCTTGTGCGCTTTACAACGGAACACAACCATGTCCTTTGGGGGAAGGCATCCCTAAACAAGGAATTTCTTTTTCAAGGATCAATTCTGGAAAGTACAAACTCATAAAGTTCCCAAAGTTCTTACATTATGGTTAACAACACAGTATTCTTTTTAGCATTGTTGTGACAATACACAGAGTTTCATTCAACAATTTTCTAAACATGTAAATCTAGCTAAGAAGGCCCAGTCAGCAGAGAGGGAATTAGAGATCTGAATCAACTGTGGGGAGAGGAGGGGAGATCATGAGCTCCTTGCAGCTGAAGAGATTTCTAAATGGATATTGTGCTTATTTGAAAGACACAAAAACTGAGGTGCAAGTTAAGGGCAGCGGGGGAAGAAGAAATTATTCTTAGCCGGGCTTGTGAAGATAGTTCATGTTTAATACATCTGAAAAAAAAATGCATATACAAAGAACTTAGACATGGAAAAAAGCATCAGTTCAACACTAATGAGTCTACAAGAATTAGAGTCTGGGTAGATTGAGAAGTATTAAGCCAGAGTATATTTTGGTAAGATCCCTACGAACAGTGGAGTCAGAGATCCTCACCCACCAGGAGGCCAATGATGCTGCCTGGTTCGATCACATCTTCCAACTGGCCCCCACGATGCCTACTGAATTTTTTTCTCCTGTGTCTCTTTCCCCCTCAAAGAGAATGATGAACTGCTTCACGGCACAGTGAGTTTGTTAGGTTCCAACTCCTTTCAACAGATGAAGGCAGCAGTGGATGAGTCATAAATGTATCTCTAATATTGCTGACCGCGAGAAGCCTCTGCTTACCAACAGAGTGGATGGTTGTTGAACAAATCCAAGAAACTTGAGCTGACTTTAAAAATATGCTGTTCTCTCTTTTCAGTTAACACCTAATGTTGCCAGTTTTGAAACTCAACTACAAAAAATTAGTAATTGGCAAAATTGGGTGGGATTCACAAGTGTGTTTTACAAACACAAAAACACACAGACACAAAAGCTTTTGGCTGAATAGACCAACAATGGGCTAATTTATATTTTGCATCTTCGAAAGGGGCAAGACAGGGATTTCTGACGTGCTTGGAGGAAAGAAGGGAGTAGATCCAAGGCAACTTCAGAGGAGATGCAGCTTCAAAGGATGAACTTACATCTCCTTTCAAAGGAGCACCAGTTTGGGACAGTTCCAATTCCAGAACCTGTTCCAAGGACTGAAGCCTGCTCACCCTTAACTTGTAAGCTGGCCACAGAAAATCACAGAATCCAAAATACTGCCAGCCTAGCATGATGGAATAGGGTCTGAAGGCTAGAGACTAAGAATTAGTCCGTTACAGAAAAAAATCATTAAGCATGCCTGAATCTTAAAAACAAAAATTTAACAGTAAACAAACAAAAACCCTAGTACTAATCAGTGTTGGAATACATTACTCTAGTTTTTTAAAAAATTAGTCTAACCGAAGGGCACTGGAGAAGAGTGCTAACATTTGCCTCTCACACAGGGAGCATATGGGAAGAGGGTGCACGGCATTTGTCATTATTGCAAAAAAAAAAAAAATTGGAAAATCTGACTCTTTAGTTTGATTTCAACATTGCTTTTAGTATGACATCAACACCAGCTTGGCAGAAGGGGCCGTGAAGGGACGTTCATAGCAGCACACACCTGCGGCTCTTCTTCGGCTCCGGGGGCTCCAGGGCAGCCAATATCGCTTCGTCAAATACATTCTTTAGGCCTTTCTGAAAAGGGGCAAAGAGAAAGGGGCGGTCTCATTGTCTGGGTTATTCAAAGCAAACAGTCTTTCAAAAAAAAATCAACAAAGACAAAATTAAAACCGAGTTCTGAGGAACAGGGCCCCGCTGTGAAGCAATATTCCTTACCAGGTGCTCTATTTATTTAATTGCCTGGACCATGTTGGCATATTTATCAGCTTGATGTTTTAAAATGCAAAGCACCTGACACTTAAGGCAAAAAAGTAGTCTGAGCACAGGCTTTCAGCAAGTTTGGATATCAAGAGACAGAGCACGAAGCTGTCACTCACTGATTGTACAGGAGTGTATGGATAAATAAAAGCAAGTGGGTCTGATCTAACATTTTGCATTTGAGAAGCAATGTGTACACCCCGTGTTTGAAAAGAAAGGAGAAATGAGTCAAGGAAAAGTGTCAACCAGATTAGATCAGAAGCAAGCAAGAATGTAGAACCCTTTCTTCAGCAAAGTTTGCTCAAGCCCCTGCGATTGATCACAAGTTACTGAAGCAGCAAAGGAGGACTCAGAGGCAGTGAATGGTAGTAAAGTCCAGTCCAGTATGAGAAAATAAACAGGTTGGAGTGTAAAGATGTTAAACTGAAGCAAATGAATGCAAACAGGAATAATGCTTCATCAGGCATTTATACAAACAACTAATTTTAATTTTGAAACGTAAGGTACTACAATTGGAGATCATTTCCTTCCCTTGGACAACAGAGGTCAAAAAGTATGATTTTAAAGAAAGCTTTACATGTTACAGTGCAAGCTTTAAGAAGGAATCAAAATGATTATCACCATGGCACTGGAAAACAGATGTCGGTCATCCATCAAGAAGGAGTGCGTACCCCAAACATCCCCCCCAGAACCCCAACAAACACTGCACAGCACCACAAACAGCCAAAAGTATAGTAAATCCCACTGCACAGAGAAAAAACCATTTTTAGTATTACTTGCAGGTCACCATGTCAGGTACAATCATCATG